AATCCAATTTTACAGTAACTATAAACTCAATTTCCTTCAAGAAATATAATGGGATTCAAAGTTCAGGAGAGAAGGAAAAGCTAAATTTCCACAAAGTTGGTCATTTTACTTTTCAAAGTTTAAACTCTAACCTTTTCAAGAAGTATAATGGGATTCAAAGAATTTATGAAAGGAAGATCTAACCTTTTAGGAGCTCGCGGAGAATGGCGAAGGGAGTTTCGATGGCGAAGGAAAATGGCGGAGAGAGACCCGACGACGACGGCAAATGGCGGGGGGAGATCCGACGGTGCCGGTTGATGGCAACGGTGGAAGAAGAAGTTGGCTTCGCAGGTGACGGTTTATGGCGACGGTGGAAGAAGAAGATACACGATGGCAACGGTTTAAGGGTTTGAGAGAAAAAATTATCAATGCTGTGTTTGAGGGAATAAAGCGAAGAAGAATGTTGGGCTTTTGGATTTTTGAAAATGTTATGTTTTCGGGTAGGGTTTGAGATTTTAAGGAAGATTTTACATCGGTTGACAAGTGGGTCGATGTAAATTCCTTTCACATAAAACTTTTTACATCAATTCTTGTTAATGGCCCGATGTGAAATCCATTAAAGGCCTGACACTTTTTACATCGATTGCAATTAAAGGACCGATGTAAAATCCTTCACGAGACCTTTTACATCGGTTGTATAGAATGGACTGATATGAAATGTTTAATCCATATTTATTTATTTTTTATTGAGAATTTTTTACATCGGCTGAGATGAATGGTCTGATGTAAAATCCTTTATAACAAATCTTCACATTATTTACGAAACCACCACCTTGTTTTTTTTTCATCAGTGAACTTTTCACATCGATTGCAAATATAGGACCAATGTGAAATCCTTTATAACAAAATTTCTTATTATTTACGTAACTGTCGCTGCGTTATTTTTCACATCAGTGGAAATATATGTCTGATGTAAAATTCTTAAATCAAATATTTTTCACATCATATTGTTAATAAGTCTGATGTAAAATCCTTTGACAAATATTTTTCACATCATATACCTTAAAATCTGATGTAAAATCATTTAACCAAATTTCTTATTTTTAGTAGTGGCTATAGATTAAAAGTGGACTGGTACTTGATGTTTGTGTGTGTAATGGATTGATTGACATGTATGCAAAATGTGGATCACTTAAACATGCTCGCGACATTTTTGATTCAACGCAAAGTTCAAATATTGTCTTATGGAGTAGTTTAATTGATGATTATGCATAATTTGGAATTGGATATAAAGATCTTAATCTCTTTAAAGTTATGACAAATTTTGGCATTCGGCCTAACGAGGTCACATATCTCGGGGATCTCAGCGCATGCAGTCACATTAGATTGGTGGAGGAAGGATGAAGGTTATATAAATCCATGGAAACAAAACACATAATTCCCCCAAAAAAAAGCATTTCTCTTGCAGGCTGATTTTCTTGCTTGCGGCGAATACTTTGCATGAAACAGATACTTTTATTCATAAATCAGAATTTGAATCTGACATTACTACTAAGAAAAACTCTATTTACTGCTTGTAAAACTCATAATAATAATGTTGACATTAATTATAGAGAGAGTTGCATAAAATATACTAAAACTTGATTCTTTCAATTCTGCTACAATGGTGATGCTTTCTAACATACATGCTTCTCCTGGTAATTGGGAAGATGTTGCTAAACTAAAGAACTTAATGAAACAAAAGTGTGTACAAAAGGTACCTAATAAAAGCTGGATAGAAGTTAAGTATAAGATGCATATATTCTTCTCTGAAGATAACTCACATCCACAAAGGAGCTACATTTACACAATGCTTGAAGAGTTATGCCTGCATATATTATGGTGCAATGTGAATTTAACCTTTCAATTCTAAGACATAGAAATAGTAAGTCATTATAATATAGTGCATTTCAGATTTAATTCGGTTGTTGCATGATTTGGTTCATGTTCCTGAGTTCATATCTTTTCAAACAAACGTCTCCTTTATCTACTATCTCCATGTTAATTTGGGAATAATAATGATAATGATGATGATATTTTTTATTATGGTGAGAATGATGGAAGAAGGAAATGTTGGAAGTAACACGAAGATTGATGGTATTGCATGTGTCTTCTGAGTTGAAGTCCCACATTATTTTCATTGCAAACAAATTTAATATATATATATATATATATATATATATATATATATATATATATATATATATATATATATATATATATATATATATATATATATATATATATATATATATAATTTGTTTTAAAATGTATTAAACTATTTCTAAAACATAGCTTAAAAAAATTTGTATTAAATAATTTACAAATACATTTCTAAAAAAATTATTAATTTATTAATTAAAAATATTAATAATAAATTATTCAAGTCATGATTCCCATGTTATTAAAAATAAATTTTATATCCTAGTCACCATTGCCACATGTGCAAAACTGGAGGGGACTCACAAAATCGCAAATGAAGTAAAGTTCAAGGACTAAAAATTGGATTTTGAAATAGGGGGACTAAAAGTTTAAAATCACCTAAATAAAGGGATCAAAAGTGTATTTAATTCAAATAAAAAAAGACCGTTCATTTTCTGAACAAATAACCGCCAACAACCAACAACACCATATTCAAATACTAGGCAACCCTAAAACCACAAAAACTATACCAAAATATATGTGAGTCAATATAAAACTTTAAAAATCTCTAATTTACACTAGAAGAAATACCAATAGATGAGAGAGCAGAATATGCAATTTGCTATAAAATCATAACTGGAGCTTCGAAACAAGGATGTACTCTAGAACAACTATATGCAAAACCAACGCCAATAACTTATAAATCACTTGATGATTTGGTCACCTCACCGATTATCCTAACTAGAAAGACGAGGCAACCACACTATAGTAAAACTACGTATCATAATCTAAAGCCAACCAAACCCTACTGACATCAATAGAAATGGATATGTAGAATAATATCATTTGCAAAGAAAATAAAAAAGAAATATAAACAGATAATATGGCCAATAATCCAAGCGCACCAAATAAAACCATGAATATGAGCTAGATTATATCACCAAGACTAACAAGTCAAAGCCATTCCAAAGGATACAAAATTCATTTGCTTAGGGAGTAGTTGAAGCCTTTAAACTTATTCTTTATACATATCTAACAAAACACTTGAATTTCGTTGATCCCAGTGTCCATCGACACACTAGAATTTCTAAAAATCTTTTCGCTATGCCTCATCCACATAACCTAAATGCATGCAAACCAAATAACTGAGAATCTATTATCCTTCACTTTGCCCCTACTTAACAGGCCGGAGAATTAGTCTAAATTGACTAGGGAAGAGTTATGCAAAACAGATGAGATATTCAACCAAGAAAGAATTTTTCCACACGAGAGAGTATATTTGACAAAAAAAGAAGAGATGTGGTTTCAGCCACACCATATTTTGCGGAACATCCCGAATGAAACTCGGCCAAAATGTCTCTTTTAAAGATATTAATCTTCGTAGGGATCATATTTTGAAAGAGCCTTCAGACCATTACCACTATCTTAGACAAAACCATATTATTCCAAGCAACAACAATAGACCTATGGTTTTCAAAAGTTACTCCTTCCAAAATGGAATCATAAGCTTCTTTAACCGAATATTTATTTATACCCCAAGATCAAACGACTTCTCCGTTTCTAACTTTTGAATTTAGTTTCCTTGAGAACCAATTAACATTGAACAAATTAACAATATCAGGAAATGGATCAATCTCCAAGTCGCATGATATGGAACCTCACACTGATAGGAACCAAGATGAGACACGATTAGAAATTTAAAATTCAAAAAATAAAGAGAAAACTCTATTGTTATTAAACAGATAGATTGTTTGGACTATATTCATTTTGAGTGCGTATATATCAAACATAAACTCTATTAAAAGTCGATGGATGACAGATGGGCCTGAAGTCCAATTAATTTAATTTATCTTAAAATTTATATCAACTACTTTTCATATAAACTTCTAAGTCTAAAAAAAAACATAATTAAAAATTAAAACATTAAAATTATTAATTATCAAGTTATTGACATTTTTTAAAAAGGACATAGGGGGACTAAAATTATAATTTAACCTAAAAATAACTAAGAAAAATGGAACATTTACATGTTAAAAACAATAAATGTCATTTTACTATAATGCAATATTAGTTAATTATTCTTATTTTATTTTAAATTAAAAGTATACATAGTACTTTTTAAGATTATATGATATCATTATTTTTACTCATATTTTTAAGAAAAAAATATTTTTTTAGATTAATTGAATAATTAGTATATTTAATTTAATAATAAATTAGAAGTATTAATTATTTAATAAATCTAAAAAGTAAAATTTATATAAAAGTATATATTTTATGATCATTGATATTATTAATAAAAGTAATTTTGTAAAGTCCCACTCGACCAATTGAGTCAGAATTGCTTTCAGTTAGGGTGTTTATGGTATAATTTGGACGATTTTAAAGTTAAAAATTATTAGAATTGTAAGAGAAAAAGAAAAAAATTTTGATTTAGTTTGATTGACTTTTAAAAATAATACTGAATCAAATAAAATTAAATTAATGCGGTTTAAATTATTTGTTTGATTCGATTTTATAATATTTTTATTAAGCCATATATATATACACGTGGGTAATCATTTATGCTTATAATAAAATAAGTTTATAATTATTTAAATAAGTTTATATTTGGCCAAAAACTCCGAATCAAATACTTTTTTTTCTTTTTTTTACAATTTTTAATTAATGTTTTATTAGGTGGGTTCGGTTTTGCATCCTCCTACTTTCGGCTATTGGTTTATTAAATCCACACAAAAAAGGAACTGTAAATTGTTTATATTTATTCATTTATTTTCCAATATATGTGAAACAAATTACACTTATTTCATAAAGGAAAAAAATGATCTCTACCTAGCTAGCTAGTTACAAAGCTCGCGTGCAATGCCAACCTTATTATTCACTGTATCAAACAAAATCCTCAAATTCTGTTGCTGATAATTAGCAATCACATTCAACACAGAGTTCACATTCCTCGGTGCAGCTGCCATTGCAAGACATACCAAAGGCTCTGAAGTACTATGAATTAAACCATTCTCCAATGGCAGCTTCAGATCCAAATCCTTGAAATGCAACGTAATAGCAGGTGCTGTCGTTTCATTTGTATCCTTAAAACATGTGTCGTAGGCTCCTAAGCTCGAAAACGGTCCTTTCACTTGTTTTCTAAACTCATCCCTTGTCGCATTGTAAACAGGCTCCACAAAGCGGGTTATAACCGTACCCGAATCGATTATCGATCCAGCTCCAGTTTTCGGGTCAAATGCTAGAAGATTGTTGGGTATAGGGACATTCACGCTACCCACACTAATTCCAGTTAAATTGACATAGTAAAGAGATGGACGAATTGGGTTGCGAAGAAGAGGTGTTGTCCTAATGGTTTTGGGTTGATCCACTGGTCCGAGTTTAAGTGAACCGGAAAAATAGTGAGATTTAAAACTGGGTAGACAATAAGAAAACACACCCGAGTAAGTTGACACGGACTGAGATAATAAAGACAATGGGCCACGACCCAAGCCCAAAAGTCCTTGGGCTGGAATCGAAGCACCAGAGATAGCATTGATGCTTCCAAAAGAGAATTTAGGAAAAATAGCATTTGCAGCTCCATCTAATGTAAGTGAATCTTGAGCGAGTGTAGCAGAGAAAGAAGAATCTGCGTAAGATTGGTTGAAGGAACAAACGTTAGAGCCTGTGGGTGAGCATGAACGCCCACGGGCTTGTCCACATTGTGGAGCGGAACACTTCAATGGGACGTAAGTGGTGGAAGATTTTGGGGAGAATTTTGTTGCGGAGCAACCAGTGCAGCCGGAAGAAGGGACAAAAGCCTCGTCGGTACTTGTGTCAAGAACCATGAAGAGGAGTTGACCCGGTGTTCCGATTTTGACACGGACAACATAGTTATTGATGTTGAAAGTTTGGCCAGGAGCGATTGGTGCTGAAGCTGAAGAGGCGGGTTTTTTTGGTGCTAATGTGGATAGGTAGTTAATTCGGTCTAAATCTTTTGAGGCCATGTTTGTGACTCTATCATCCCACGAGTTTGTTTTTGGTGAGCATTTCCCATACATGGGAAATACCTTAAGATCAGAGTCATCTTGTTGAGATGCACAAGGATCAATGGAGTGGCTCTTGCATATGTAAAATACATAGCAAAATATTAAAGCCGTAGCCAATTTAGTGTTCATGGCTGATTTAGTTTCAATGGGGATTGGAAGTAGCTAAGCTAGTTTGCATAGATGAGGAGAGCTTAGGCTCATATATATATATATATGATAAATAAAATTGTGATGCATTTTAATAGGAAACTGTTTTTTTTTTTACATAAAGTATTACTTTTTATTCTTTTATAATATTTTTAATTATATTTTACTAAAAGATTGTTACAAAGTCAATCATTTCCTTTTTTTTAAATGTTTTAATTAGAAAACAATAAATAAAAATTCTAAAAAAAAAATTTGGTCAAGTTTTTTTGTAAAAAATTCTAAAATTTTAATAATGTTAAGATGCAATTTCCAAAACAAAATTTCTAGATATAACATTGAGCTTGGTTCTTAAATTACAAGGCATAAATTAACTTTTCTTAAAAAAATGATTTTTTTATCAAAAAAGTATTTAAAAAAATCATTTTAATAATTAATTTCTTTAAAAATAAAATAAAAATTTATTAATTTAATGATAATGGAATGGTTTCAAACTTCCTCATTGCTTGTATGAAAATCGCTAGAAAACTGTTGGTTAACACCACATATTGTAATCTAAAAATTCCATATAGTTGTGGTGGGTTCTCCACCGTTTGAGCCAAAAGATTATGTCCTAAATGAGCTGTCAAAATTGTCTTTGCTCCCTAAACTCTTTAAAATTTTCTAATTAAACATGCTTAAAGGGCTACGCGCGCTCTTATAAGCATGTTTTTTAGGGCCAACACTAATGGATATCATATTTTTTAGAGCCTGAATAAAAAAATTCTAAAAAATATGGATTTTAATTTTAAAGTTTAAGCTCTATAATTTTTTGGGTTTGACAAATAAGTTCATATGAGTTAGTCCATTTTAATAATTCTATTCACCGTGGACTACTATTGATCAACTTCACTATTTATAAATATTTAATTTTTTTTATTAATATAATATTTAAAATATAGGCAAAATACCTCTTTTGGTCCCTTAACTTTAACTCGGGGTCCAATTTGGTCCCTTATCTTTAAAAAGTATCAAGTTGGTCCTTTAACTTTTAAAATGATGTCAATTTAGTCATCGTCGTCATTTGTCCTCAAACGTCCGTTTATTTTGTATATTTGGAAGATGACTTGGCAATTGTGTTCATCATGTTGCTTACTTCTCCTTCCTCCTTCCGTTCACATCCTTAAATTAATCTCAATCCCAATCTCAAATCCTTAAATTAATCTAGGGTTTTTTTATTTGGCAAGCATGAAATCCGGTTGTTCCTCCTCCATTTCGAAATCGAAAAGTCGAGATTCGGATGTTTGTAGTAGGTCACGATGAAAGCTCATATGCCATTGTGGAGACATGATTGTTCTTCAAAGGGCAACTACTGTTAAGAATATGAGAAATTTTTTTTGAGGTTGTCCAAATTATAAGGTATGCAAGCTGGTTTTGTTCTCTGTTGAAGTTCTATTTTTATTTAAGTTATGTTTCTGTTTCTGTCCAAATTATAAGTTATATTTCTGTTTAAGTTTAAATTCATTATCCATCATCCTCTAAACAATGAAACTTACAGGGAGGTATGCAAGTTGGTTGTGACTTCTTTGGTCGGTTTTATGAGGAGATGGGTGATGAAAAGGAGCAATTTTGGATGCATAGGTTGGGTGTGGTAACTAAGGGACTTGCTGAGGCAAAAAAGGACATTGAAAAAGTGACAATGGGGAATGAAGAATTGGTGAAAAAGCTGATGAAACATGAAAGTGAAATGAAGAATATCATGAAGTGGAAAAAGATTTTGAATTTGATGTTTGTGATGATTATCATTGTATTAGTTGTTAGGAGTAGTTAGGGTATTAAGGTTTGTTTGGAAGTAGTATGTTATGGTTTATTGGTAAGAATTAAGTTAAGTTTTGGTTGTAAGAATTAGGTTTAAGTTCAGTTAAAGTTTGTATCAATTTTAGATTGTATCACTTCAACATGAATGTAATAATTAGATTCTAATATATGGATTTTAATCCTGTATCAGTTTAGTTAATTTCATTTTTTACAGTTCAACATGAATGTATCAGTTTTAGTTTTGGATTGTATTAGTTCCACATGAATATAACAGTTAAAGATAATGTTTACTTGGTATGCATTGATAAATATCATGTCAAAGTGTCTTTAATTTGGTCTGTCAAAGCATAACCAACAGTTAAAGATTATGTTAATTTGGTATGTCAATGATATATTTGGTATGTTATGTTTTTATGTTTACTTGGTCTGTTATAGACCTGTCAAAGTTGGTCTGTTAATTTAGTCTGCATTTTTACACCACATTAGACATGATCGTAGTAATATAAAGTTCATGACAGGTCCATTTCATAATACATAAAGTTCATGACATGTTCTGATTTTAGGTTCATTTCATAATGCCTATAAGTTGGTTATGCTTTTAACATAAAGTTCATGACAGCGGGATACATAAACAACAACAACAACATGATATATAAACTTGTAATACATTCCACAAAATAGACTTATTCCGCAACTGATACACATGTTCCAAACCAACAGCATAATACATAAACTTGTTCATGATAGTTAGGTTATACTTTTAACACAACTGACACACATGTTCCACAACAACAACATAATATATAAACATTGTAATACATTCCACAACTAGAGTTTTTAACATAACTGAATACACATGTTCCACAACTAAAGTTTCTTCATCCATAGTAGGTAGCAGACCCTGCAATAACATACAATGTAGCATTACAATATCGCATAGCAGGAATAACATAACATAAACACATAAAACCATAAGAATAAATGAAAAACCTGCCTTTTGTTGGTTTGAGATGAAGGTGTAAGTCAGACATTCATCTTTGCCTCCAAGGTCATCAATTAACAGCTCTAAAAATCAACTCCAATTATCCTTGTTTTCACTCTCCATAATTTCATATGCTATGGGAAGCATCTGATCATTAGGATCCCTCCCAATGGCAGCTAGAATCTTCCCTCCACACAACCCCTTAAGAAAACACCCATCTAGACCTATTACATGCTTGCACAACTTAAAGCTTTCCTTACACGCAACATAACATATGTAAAGCCTTCTAAAATATGGTCTTTCATCCTCAACACCTACTTGTACAGTCTCAACATTGAGCTTAACTTTTGACCCTGGATTGACTCTTAACAGTTCATGATAATAGTCATAGACCCTTGTGTAATCTCCCAAAAAGGAACCATTAACATAGTCTCTAGCTGCAAATCTTGCTCTTATAGCTTTGGTTTTGTTGACCCCGATATTTCACTTTTTTTATGACTTCTCCTTGATATCTTTTATACTCAACCTTGTATTGTTTTTCAAGCTATTCTAAATTCTTTTACTCAACCACTTTGTACTAATCAGCTTCACATTATACTCTCTACTACAACTGTGTTTGTCAATTACTTTCCTGAGTTGTCAAGTGTCTTCATTTGACAACTTGCTACAATAAGCCTCCCACTCACAACCAACTTTACATCTAACCCTTACCCTAACTCTGTCATTTTTTACAAACCTTAGGTCTCTACCATTTTGCACAGCATAAGTTGGTATTGCTTCCCTAAAATCACCCTTTGAACTAAAGTACATTCCCACATCCCACTTGTAATCTGACATGTCTTTTGGCTGTCTGAAAATTGGATGTTTTTTTCTTAGAACTCCACTGCTATCATCACTGTCACAACCACTTTGCATGTTCTCACTGTCATTGTCACTCCCTTTACCATCATTTTCATGACCAACTAGGGTATCAAGTTCATCCTCCTCAATCTCATCACACCCATCAGACTCATCCTCAAAAGCAACATCTTGTGCGCTATCGTAATTGTAGTCCTCATCTTCACTATCATCAGATGATAAACTTAAGTCATCATACACTGCAACTTTACCTTTTTCAACTCTAACATTGCCTTCTTCCTCTACAGGATTCCCTTTTTCAACTCCAACATTACCTTATTCCCCTGCACGATTCCCTTTTTCAACTCCAATATTACCTTCTTCCCATGTAGGATTCCCTTGTTCAAATCCAACAATATGTTCATCCACTGCATGATTCCCTTAATCAACTCCAACATTACCTTCCTCCAACCCAGCAGTGGCTTCATCAACTCTAACACCACCTTCCTCCAACCCAACAGTGGCTTCATCAACTCTAATATCACCTTCCTCCAACCCAACAGTGGTTTGTTCAACTTCATCATGCAATTGACTAAGTAACTCCTCTACCTCATCTACAATTTCAGCAGGGTCCTCATCAACTTCATCAACAACAACATCACAGTAGTCAGGTTGAGGCAAGGTGTGTTCAATATAAATATCAATATTTTGGTGCACCCTATACAGATCTGCAATTTCTAAAGCACCATTGTCATCAACAAGTGGATTCATCCCAAATTGAGGGTCCTTGTAAAATATTGTTTCAAACTCCCTATAACCTAAGTCTTTCAATACACCAACTAGCTCAAAATAACTCCATCTGTCTACATCTACTCTCAAATCATCTACTACTTCATTCTCATATGCACTACGATCTTCATCTGTGAACTCACCACTATGATGAATTTTGAGAGTTATGTATTCATCCATGACACCTAATCATATCATCTAAATAATTAGAGTTTACACTAACAAATTTACATAAACCCTAAATCTGAACCACTAGCAGAAAACCCTAAAACAAAGATAAATGAACTAACCTTTTGATTATGTCTCCTTGAATCGTCTTCAATCCTCCGCCCTCAATCCTTCACGTCTTGAATCTTCGCATCTGCAAACCTTGAATCGTCTTCAATGATTCAATGAATTCTCCAAGCGTTGTATCATGCCTTCTTCTGGGTAATGGAAACGTCAACAAACGTGGCATTTTTTGCAAACCTTGAAGCGTTGTATTGTTTTATCTTCCTTTAAGACATTTCATATCCACGTCAACAGCTCCACCTGGACAAACATGACATTTTTTTCAAAGTTTGACTAACGACAACAAACA